AGAGAGAGAGAGAGAGAGAGAGAGAGAGAGAGAGAACCTTAGGCTTTCACCTCTGGCTGTGATGCTTGGGTTTCAGTCCTGGCCCCATCTTGTCCCAGTTGTGTGACCTCAAACAAGACATAAAGCTCTCAGGGCCTAGTCTGGCTCATCTGGAGACAGACTATAGGATTATGACCCTCAGAGGGAGCTGTGAGGATTAAATCCAGTGATAGATGTAGGCATTCTCAGAACAGTGCCTGATATACATGTTCTAAAATGTTTGCTTAAAAAACCCAAATAAATGGTACATGAAAGTGGGATTTCCCAGTAAGGAGGCAAGGGAGAAGGGCTCTGTAGGTAGAACAGGAAATCTGACTCGGGTATCAATTAGATTAGTTCTTCTGCAGTCTTAGAGAACTAATTTAATGCCTCTGCGAAGTGTGCATCCTTTGAAATTCTGTCCCCGCATAGGAGTATGCTGAGCATAAGGCAAGGGAGGAAGCAGAAATATGGACTGGGAACATTGGATCATGGAGTCTGCACAGGGCAGAGTCCTCTGGGCCCCTCTCTGTGTCTACCACTGTCAGGAAAGCTCCATAGCCATGCTGCAGCAGGGAGCTCACAGGGACCCCTAGTGCTCAGGTGCCTGGAGCTGAGGCCACCATGATGGCTTCCATGGCAGCCTCTCTCTTCCAGCCGGGCAGCAGAGACCCAGGCTGAGCTGTCTCTCCCCACACAGGTAGGTCTATAGCAGACTGGCTGGTGGCTCAGGTTCCATCCGGGGATTCTGCAGATGAGGGTTTCGGAAGATGCCACTGAATTGGAGGACAGCTGACATCAGATTCTCTGGATGATGGCAGACTGCAAGGAAAGCAAATTAGAGTTAATTCAGAAGAGCTGAACTGAGATAGTGTGTTGTACCTGGTGTATGTTAGGTGCTAAAGCTTTCACTCGGTCAATGGCTCAGCCTTCAGCTTGCTCATTCTGTGCCAGTGTTCAGAAGGTACTTAGTTTTTGCCTGTTCCTCACTTTCCTACTGTTGTTGATTGTTGATTAGCTTGACTCCAGGACAGTGATGTCTTCAGCCAAAGGGATTCAGCTCCATGCTGGTGCAAATGTTCTGGTTCATCTGCTGGTTGTTAGTAGCGATCTT